CTTTTCAAATGTGAATATTTTCAGTTTTTCCTCTCTAGATAGTACACCGAATCTTTGGGGCTGCACTCTTAGACAAAACGAGGCATTTGAAGATGTCACATTGGGCCCTGTGATGTGTGTTTTTCCATTATTTATAGATCAAACAATGAATCAGTAGATTGAACAATGGTGAAATTAAGCAGCCCTACAATCACCAGCTGCATCCCGATATCAAACATACCTCTAAAACTAAATGTTTCTCAAAAGCAAGAGCGAATCACATTATTTTTATTCACTAGACTAAAAAGCTTTCAGTTTCAAGAAGTGTTATTTAACTTGAATTAAGCTGTGTGCAAGATTGCCTGTATTTAACACACACAGCACCATCTATGCATGTGTCATCTTAATATACTGTAAGAAAGTAAATAAAGGATACAACTACGCTCCAGTAATGCAGTATTGGTGCTAGTGTGTTAATAACGCATCACAACAGAATGTTATATCCACATTGATTGTTTATCCCTCTCCATAGTGTGCATGTGCAAGCATTAAGAGAGATTGTGCTTGTGTCTGCCTTTTGTGTGATCAGCCGTCTGGTTTTGCTGCCATACTGTACGTGTTTGCACTCGCATTTGTAAGAAATAAAAAAAATAAAACAAAGGTGGATGACAGCTGTGTAAAATGGAGACTGTATCAGTCATTGTTAAGCCCAGAGGGGCCTCTTACACAATGTTTTGGCAGGGAAATCTTATATCGGGGTTATTTATGCTGCTGAGTTTGCAACCAGGTGTGAGTGAGTGCGCGTGCATGTGCTTATTTGTGGCACCGGGGTTTATGATATAAAGCATATAAAAAGAGTTGCCTGAAGGAACGAATGTTTATTAGCTTTACAAACAGGATGTCTTCCTTCTCCCCCACAGAGAGCGAGAACGATGTCATGCCTTTTCTGTGTGGGGTAACACAGTGTGCTGTGTTTTTTGGGGATGTGCTTCTGTTTGTGTAAGAGTGTGTTTGAAACCGGGAGCCAACCTATAGTACTCAAGACGTCCCAGTTTGTATAACTAAATTGACATGTAATATGTGCGTGGCTGGCTGGTTTAACTGTGAAATGACTGAGTGGTTTCCATTTACTGGGCTGACAGGAGAGCCGCCCTGGGTTCAGATGAGCTGCTCCTCATCGCCATCGTCCTGTTTATCAGCTGGTCTCAGAGCAGCTTCACATAGGAAAATCTTAAAAGCTTATGTCTGACAAGATGCACATTCTGCCACCTGCAATTATTCACACATTTCTCATGACGTGTTTTTATATACGTATTGTGATGAGCTGTCAACCCACTAGGACAGGTGCCTTTTTTCACCCTGTTCACACTATATCTGAACATGTTATGAATGAATTTGCACAATTCTATGCCAGATGGTTGGTTGCGGGGACAGGAAAAATATGATACATTTTTCATAAGGGTTGGGTAAAAGTGGGGTGTGGCCTCTTGTTTAACAGAACCACACTGACCCATGAACCTTAAAGTCAGATGCTTAAAGGTCCAGTGTGTAAGTAATTATAGAAGTGATCTACTGGCAGATGGATATCACCCTCACACTTATACACAGTATCGTCTTTCCATTAGTCGTATCAGCTCACCCTCGACCAACTAAGAAATCGCTCGCCTGAAAATAAGAATCGTGCTTTTGTTACCTTTAAAATGTTCTATTTTTTCCATTTGTTTTACAGAGGCAGCAGGTCCTCTTCTACGGGGTCTGCCATGTTTCAGTAACCCAGAATTATATCTATTGGTTTACATTTATTTCTGTATGGTATGAAAATATAATGGCAGTCTTTAAACATGCACACAACAATAACAGGACTGTAGACTTGTTGTTCAGTGTGATAGAATATGCAATTCCAGACTCTGTACAGAAATAGATGAAAACCACTGACCGGACAGAAAAAAAAATCAATCAAAAAGTTGAAACACCATGCTATGGGAAAAACTACAACAGCAGTATACAAGTAAACACGCTTTTTAGTAAAATAAGTAAAACTTGCAACAGTGGTATGATGAGCCTCTTCTTTCTCCTTCATCCTCCTCCATTTCGTTTCTATCTGCCTGTAAATGTTTTCTTGTTTTTTTTCACTCGTCCTTATCTTTTAGTGAGATTTCTGATGCTATTTTTGACCAGCGGTTTCAAGTCAGAAGAGACGCTGAAACAACAGCCTGTTATCGTGGCTCATTACAGTGATTTTTGATTGAAAAGAGAAAAGTTTTAAGTAGTTGTAGTAACACCATCAAACTTTGTTGCTTATCAGAAGACAGAATAAAGCTGACCCTCTATAATTGGCCTAATCAAACAGCATGAAGGTACTTAAGAGCCAATTTCCATTTTATTTTTTCATTTTTTCAGAACTTTTGTAAGTTGAAGAAGGGCAGCACTTATAGCTACTTAAGTATATATTTGATTTTCCATGTGGTGCTATGGCAAATGCTTGAAAGTATAATTTTACAGTTCTTTCCCTGTTAATAATAAGAGAGGGAAAAAAAACTAGAAATCTGGCATGTGAAAGTGATCTGTCTAAGCAACTGTATGCACTTCACCAATTGCCATCTAGTTTTTTGATATGATGTAAGTTTAAGAAAAAGTTACATCGTCATAATTATTTTCGTGAACTTTCTATGGTTATGGGAATGTTGGGATCAACTCCCAGACATTTCAACTGTTGTCAGGATTCAAAGTTTGCTGTGCCACACCCAGATGCCCACCCTAGCCTCTCCTCTGTCCCAAATAAGAATGACAGCTGGGAGCCCCCACCCCAAAATGACAGGGATTTTAGCTTGTGTGTGGTCAAGCTGTCTGTCTTTTTGCTGTGCATCTTGAGTCAGCTGTTACCTCACTGGGAATGCGTTCCATGTGGTTGTAAGGCTCAGCTGACAGTATAGGAGAGTGCTGTCTAGACAGTGAGGCCAAATGCAATAAGTCACTATCATGCTGTTTGTGCAGCTGATGCAGTGCTATGTATATGCTATGGAAAAGTTTGGAGTGTGTGCATGTGACTGTCCTAAGTTTTGTTACTCATTATTTTTGCCTGTTGCCTGCCACCAAAAACAGAGGACCTACTTCTCTCTGTTAGGGGAAATACGGGCTTGTGCAGCTGTCTGTTTGCTCCCCTTGTTATTTTTTGTGCACGCTTGTTTGCATCATAAGCACCAGACCCACGTCTTTTGTGTAAACCCATGACAAGACGCCTTTTGTGGTATTTGTTTTTTCATATCATAACATTGTTGACTCAACTGACAAAACTCAAACAATAGAAAAGCAAAAATGAGACTGTCAGCTTGGCTATCATCCACCAGCTGTGCGGTAGGTTTCAGTAAATATTCATTAAAGTTGAGATGCATGATGAAAACATGGGCCAATCGCACAGGTCAGTGTCAGGACGAAGATGTCTAGTCAGGGATCAGAAGAACTGGATGAGGGGTTTGGGATTGTGCTAGCATGGACATGTTTTTCTGCTTGTGGACTGTGCTCCTAAAGGCAAGTCAAATACTGGTTAGTAGTGTCTACTACCCACAGGGCAAGTAATTGCCCTGTAATACAGACTTCACAGTCTGCTGCAGAAACTAACCAACTACCACTGCAGCCACTGTCCCCTGTTATCAGGT